AACAAACACAACAGATGATAGCAGCTGGCAGTGGCAACAGCGGAGCGCAGAGTGCAGCTGTCCAGCAACAGCTGATGATGCTGCGGCAGCGGCAGGAGAGTATGCAGGCCATGCGCAACATGGGCAACCCTGCTGCGGCTGCTGCTGTCAGTTTTGCCGGCCCGATGCCAATGGTATCTGGAGCGCAGATGAGCGACAGCATGTTCAATCCAGCGGTGGCGGCTATGGCGGCGGCCCACAGCATGGTGCCCCCACACATAGAGGGCGCCATTGGGAATGCAGCGGGTGCCTCGAATGCGCCGGTTTCTTCGAGCATTGCTGAGGATGTGGCGGCAGCGTCCATGATGTGATATGCGTGTTGTAATCCCTGCGCCTTCGTCTGAGCGCATCTGCACACTGGGCGTCCCATGTCTCGGCTTCTCCAGCCCTCCCCTCCCCTACCTCCTTCCACTAGCCCTCCTTTTTTTCTCAGCCCTACATTAAAAACGTCTTTGTTCAGCTGCTGCACATGCTCCATGTAGCCTCTGTGCGTGACTCGGGTCTGGTGCATGTCAAGGCCAACCACGAACGCGGAATGCGCAACTTGGGAATACGGAAACGGCCAGCGCCCCTCATCCCGCTGCAGTCTAGTGAGCTCGCCAAGAGTGGGTGGCCAGAAAAGGAGGGAAATCATGCTCTCAGGCAGGGCCTGCTGACGTGTGGAGGGCAGTAAAGGCTCGCTTGTTCGCTGGCATTTTTTAAATACCCTGTCTCCTTCTCCACACCAGCTTCTTTTTATTCTTCACCTTCAACAATTTTAAAAAAAATCGTACAGAGCCCTTCAAATGGACCGTCCGCCGTGTATTGCTATTCCGTTCAAGCAGACCAGCGAAGTCGACTGGGCGCGAGCGCTAAAGCGGTACATTAGCACCCAGTACCAGGAGGACCCGGAAGCATATAGCGAGGACTGCAACCGGCTGCAGCGTATGCGCCAGGACATGCGCGGCGCAGGGCCCGACAACACTGGCAGGGACCTCATCTACCGGTATTACACGCATCTGGAGACGCTGGAGCCGCGGTTTCCGGTGAACGAGCAGGGCGTCAAAGTCGCGTTCAAATGGTAAGTGGATAAAAAAAAAGCGGCTCCTGCTCCTTGGCATTGTCATAACCGCTGTGTAGTCTAACCGGCGCATTCCCTGGAGCGCCAAGGATGACAAATGGGCGGCGGGACTATATCTGAGGGTTTTGTCTCCTGTTTAATCATGTGGACCAGCACCGGATGCAAAGCTCGCATATTCTGCTCACCTCCCGCTTTCCGGATTTCTCTCAACAACTAGGACGGACCCATTCACGCATGAAACCACACTGCAGCACTCGCTGGCGTTCGAGAAGGCCAGTGTTCTGTTCAACCTGGGCGCGGCTGTGGGCATGCATGCCGCAACCCTCTATTCTGACGCCAGCCGTCGACCCGAATCCGAGTCACTGGTTCTGGCGTGCACGTACTTCCAGATCGCTGCCGACCGGTTCCACTACATCAGCGAGAACTTTCTGCACGCTCCTTCGCTGGACCTGCAGCAAGAGTCGGTCAATGCACTGTGCCAATGCAATGCATGCGCAGTCGCAAGAGTGCGTGGTGGAGAAGGCCCGGCTCGACGGCAAGAAGGATGCGACATTGTCCAAGCTGGCGCAGCAGGCGGTGCTGGCTTATGCAACGCTGTGCGACAGCCTGCGCCCGGCGATGGATAGCCACCCAGCTGCCGCGCGGGTGGCAGCAGCTGGCAGAGACCAAACTGAAGTACTATATGGCATATGTGCAGTACCACGAGGGGCGGGCAAACGACGCCAAGGGCAAGCACGGCATGGCCATTGCCAGGCTCCTGCAGGCCGAGACCTTGCTGCGCGAGGCGACACGGCTTGTAGGCGAGTTTTCTGACAGCTTCTTTGCCACGCAGGCTTTGACAGACGACCTCAACACGGGCTCGGCGCAGGGTCTGGCTGAGGCCATCAAGAGCATGAGCACCAAGGCCGCCGATGAGCTGAAGCAGATGAACCGCGACAACGACATGGTGTACAACGAGTCCATTCCGTCGTTTGCTGCGCTGCCGGCAGTCGAGGGCGCCAATGTGGTGGCGCCGATGAAGATTGACAGCATGTATTCGCCCGACGACCTCCGGCGGATTGTCGGGCCTGATCTGTTTGAGCGCCTGATCCCAATGTCCGTGCACGAGAGCTCCAGCATGTACAGCGAGGAGAAGGCCAAGCTGATCCGGACCGAGGACGACAAGGTGAATCTGGCCGACGGCGAGCTGCAGGCTGCGCTGGCGTTCATGCAGATGCCCGACATCCTCTACCGGTTCAAGCGGTACCTGGCAGCCACCACCCCTGGCAACAAGCGGTCTGGCTCTGGCGGCTTCATCGCCGAGCTGGCCGAGCCCAGCGCTGATGTGCGTGATTTGGCTCAGGGCGTGAGCATCCAGGAGCGCACGGCTCCGCTAACCGAGGTGCGGGCGACACTAGATGCCCAGCGCACACGCGTCAAGGACAGAATCACCGAGCTGGGCCAGATGCTGGACCAGGAGCAGCAGGCCAGCGACCAGGTTCTTGCCGAGTACTCGGCTGACCCAGCCTTTGCTGGCTACAAGCCATCGGTAGTAGCATCGCAGTTCTTCCGGGACGTTCTGCTGGAGCAGCGCAGGTCGTTCGAGAACGGCACCGCTATGGACCGCACGATCTTTGACAAGTACCGTCAACTGGTTGCACCCTGGCTGCCCACGCTGCAGAATGGCGCCGAGGGCGTCACCAGCGCCCTCTTAGAGCAGCTCAAGGACATCGACTTTGGCGGGGCGGCCAGGGCGGACGGCGGCGAGACTCTGCTGGACGTTGGCCAGGGCCAGCCGGTGGGGCTGTCGGGCCACGTGCAGACCGTGCAGGACACACTGGAGCAGCTCGATGAGGTCAAGAAGCAGCGACACACGACGCTGCGGGACCTGAAGAGTGTTGTCAAGGACGATGACATTGCCGGCACACTGATGAAGTCTGCCAGCGGCAAGGAGCTGCAGCAACTGTTCAACCGCGAGCTGCAAAAGTTTGACGCCTACACTCAGCGGTTGCAGTCGACGATGACGCGCCAACAGCAGCTGGTCAAGCGGCTTTCCGATGAGTTCCGCACCATGATGGAGTCGCCTGAGGCCCGGCGTGTGCAGGAGAAGTGGGATCTGGCCGAGCAGCGCAAGGCCACTGTGGAGGCACAGCTGCTGGAGGCCGTGCAAACGTACAAGATCGTCGCCCAGGGAATGAACAGCGGCGCAGAGTACTACAAGAACATGTACAGTATCCTGGAGCGCCCGCACAAGGATCTCCTCGAGTACATTGAGGGCCGGGCGAGCCAGCGCGAGCAGCTGGTGAAGCGGGCCAGGCAGGAGAAGGCGGCGCGGGAGCAGGCCGCGCTGAGGGAGAGGCTGAATCAGTATGCACCGCCGCCAGCACCAGCTGCCCAGGCGTATGCGCAGGTGCCACAGAATAACCGGGCGTTTGAGGTTGACCACCTGGCGGACCAGGCAGCCCAAATGACGCTGAATGCACAGAGGGCCAATGCCCCGCCCCAGCAACATCAGCTGCAGTACCAGCAGCCGTTGGTTGACCAGTCTCCGCAACAGCAAAGATACCAGCCACCACAGCCGCAGCCGGTTGTCCACTCGTCGCCACAGCAGCCAATGTACCAGCCGCCGCAGCAGCAGCAACAACAAATGTACCAGACGTACAGCCAACCTCAGCAGCAGCAGCAGCCCGTGGCCCACAAGTACCACCAGCCGCCTGTGCATGTGCATGCCCACCAGGCGCAACAGCAGCCGCAGCCTCAGTATCAGCCGCCGCCCAGCAGTACGCACCGCCTCCAGTCGCAGCCCAGGCATCCGCGCCGCCGCCCGTTGCTACCCAAGGATACCAGCCACCGCCACCACAGCAGCAGCAATATGTGACAAGCATGGCTCCGCACCAATATGCCCTCGCACAGGCGCCTGCAGCTGACCCTTACACCTCCGCGGCATCCCGCCAGTCAATGGAGAACAAGCGGCGGACCAACCCGGCGGACCCGAACTTCCAGCCAGGCTACGGCGGCTACGGCACCCATGCGGCAGCCCCACCTGCTCCTGTTTCCCTAGCCACCAACGACGTGTACTCAGGCATTACCACTGGCTACGGGACCACACATGCGCCGGCCTCATCGAGCTCCTATGCACCGGCACCACAGGCTACGCACCATCACCAGCACCAACAGCAGCAGCCAGTGTATGTGTCGCAGGCACAAGCTGGCGGATATGCGCCGCCGCCGTTTGCACCGCCGCCCAGCCAGCCCACCAGCTACAACAGCACCGTGGCAAGCGTCACCCAGCCGCAGTATGTCCAGCAGCAGCAGCAGCAGCCACAGCAGCAGTACTATCACCACCCGGCATCGGTAGGCAACATGAGCGCGGCTCCGCCACCAGTGGCCTCTACCAACATGCCATACTCTGTGCCTATCCAGACCGCCCCGCAGCAGTATAGCCAGCCGCCGATTCACCAGCAATACAGCCAGCCCCCGCGCCAGCACCAGCAGTACCAGGGACCGGTGCAGCAGCAGCAACAGCAGCAACCACCGCAGCAGCAACCACCGCAGCAGCAACCACCGCAGCAGCAACAGCAGCAACCACCGCAGCAGCCGGCGTATAACCCGTACGCTTACTCAGCACCGCCGACCGCCGCCGTCATTGGAGGGCCAGTCCCACAGGCGCAGCCAGTCCAGCCCGTCCAGTCTGGTTATGCACAGCAACCACAGTTCCAGCAGCAGCAGCAGCAGCAGCCCCAGTACTCGCATGGCTACGGCGGCAACGTTGGCGGATCGCTGATGGACTAGCGAGTTTTCACATTAATAATCTTCCACTATCTTTATACCATGCTTTGACCGCATATTTCTAATCCTCGTTGCGGCTGTCGGCACTCCCGCGTGAATGCGCGAGCGGGCTAGATGCCATTTCTGGTAGCAGCAGCGGCTGCTCCCGTGGAAAGACAATCGTCCCACCTTGGAGCAGACTCGGCGCTTTGCGGACCTGGTGATGGCGCCTCGATATGAGCACAGACGTGTAGGCTCTGGCGCGCGCTGTGTACCAATTGGCAGAGAATGTGCCGGCCAAGGGATCTCAAGAAAAGCAGCCGCCTGCGGCTTAGTCAGTGCGAGAGTGCGTTTCCAGGAGTGGGGGAGGAGACGCTTTTCTCCATCCCCCACTCCAACAGCAAAAGCGCCATGGTTGCTGGTATATAAGCTGCTGTGCCCGCACACGCCGCTGTATTTGTGCTCCAACTCCTCTGTTCTCAACTAGTTTTTCTCTCTCTCTTTCTCTTTTTCCTATTAAAGACTTTAGCATACATTCTTTGACCATGGTTCTCGCCACCGAACTGAACGCCTACAAGCAGCTCCAGGCCTACTACGATGCGGCCGGCAAGGACATCGACATGCGCCAGCTGTTCAAGTCCGACGCATCGCGCTTCTCCAAGTACTCCCGCACGCTGAAGCTGTCGTCGCTCGACGGCAAGCACTCGACCGAGCTGCTGGTCGACTTCTCCAAGAACCGCATCGACGACAAGACGTTCCAGCTCCTGCTTGATCTGGCCAAGGATGCCAAGCTGGAGGAGTACCGCGAGGAGATGTTCACGGGCAAGCACATCAACGTGACTGAGGACCGTGCGGTCCTGCACGTTGCGCTGCGCAACGTCGGCAACGAGCCGATCTACGAGTCCGGCAAGGACGTGATGCCCGAGGTCAACGCGGTGCTGGAGCACATGAAGGAGTTTTCGGAGCAGATCCGCTCCGGCGCCTGGAAGGGATACACTGGTGAGCGCATCACCGATATCGTCAACGTCGGCATTGGCGGCTCTGATCTGGGACCCGTGATGGTGACCGAGGCCCTGAAGAAGTTTAGCCAGCCTGGGCTGAACGTCCACTTTGTGAGCAACGTTGACGGCACGCATATGGCCGAGGCGGTCAAGAACCTGGACCCGGCCAGGACCTTGTTCATCATTGCGTCCAAGACCTTCACCACGCAGGAGACCCTGACCAACGCCCAGTCGGCCAAGGACTGGTTTCCTGGCCACCGCCAAGGACGTAAGTACTACTGCATTATCTCGCAGGCGCTCTGTTTCAATATCCGCCTGCCGGACCACTCCTGTTTTTTTTCTGTCCCCCAATCCTCAGCCCACCGCATTGGGCCAATTTGTCCGGTGGGGCAGAGGGACAGGCAATCATGCTCTTCACAGAAGGCGTGTTGCTGCTGCTGCAAGACACTGGGCACCACTCCACACGCACGCTTCCTAGAACGATTTACTGATGACACGCAATTTGCTACCCCAATATTTAGGAGGCCCACGTCGCCAAGCACTTTGTTGCTCTGTCAACCAACACCGAGGGCGTCACTGCCTTTGGCATTGACGCGAAGAACATGTTCCAGTTCTGGGACTGGGTCGGCGGGCGCTACTCCCTGTGGTCGGCCATCGGCCTGTCGATCGCCATCTTCATTGGCTTCGACAACTTCCACGCCCTGCTTGAGGGTGGCCACGCCATGGACCGCCACTTCCGCACGGCGCCCCTCGAGGACAACCTGCCGGTGCTGCTGGGTTTGCTCGGCATCTGGTACAACAACTTCTTCGGCGCCGAGACCCAGGCGCTGCTGCCGTACGACCAGTACCTGCACCGCTTCTCGGCCTACTTCCAGCAGGGCGACATGGAGTCGAACGGCAAGTTTGTGTCACGCGACAGCCGTGAGGTGAACTACCAGACCGGCCCGATCATTTGGGGCGAGCCCGGCACCAACGGCCAGCACGCGTTCTATCAGCTGATCCACCAGGGCACCAAGCTGATCCCGTGCGACTTCATTGCCCCCACGCACACTCTGAACCCGATCCGTGGCGGTGTGCACCACGACATCCTGCTGTCCAACTACTTTGCGCAGCCTGAGGCTCTTATGAACGGCAAGACCCAGGAGGTTGCCCGCGCCGAGATCCTCAAGGAGGGCAAGCTGACCAGCCAGGCCGAGATTGACGCCCTGGTGCCGCACAAGTCCTTCAAGGGCAACCGCCCCACCAACTCGATCCTCGTCAACAAGGTCATCGATCCCTTCGCCCTTGGAGCCCTCATCGCCATGTACGAGCACAAGATCTTCACCCAGGGTGCCATCTGGTTCGTCAACACCTTCTCCCAGGAGGGTGTCGAGGAGGGCAAGCGCCTGGCCAAGGCCATTCTGTCCGAGCTCGCCAACCAGGACGACGTCAGCTCGCACGACTCGTCCACCAACGGCCTGATCAACTTCTACAAGGCCAACCGGGCGTAACCCCTGCTACATAGCTCTATGTTTATCTCTTTGTCCAAATAACAAGTCACCGAAGCCATCCATTTCCAGCATGCACAGATATCGGCAATATGTGCAAGACAGCTCGATTTATTGTAACCTGCTCTAGACGATTGCAATGCTGCGTCAGACCGTTGTTGGCTCCGGCGCCTTCTCGGCGGCGGCAGCAGCAGTCTCCGCGGCAACAGCCTCCGGCTTCTTCTCGCCGATCCTGGCGGCCCTGATCTTCATCCGCATCTGCCTCTCGGCCTCCTCCTTCGCCTGCTCGGTCTTCTCCCATGCCAGTCGGCGTTCATTCAGCACCGTCTTGATCCTGGCCATCGTCTTCTTGCACTTTATGATCCGGCTCCTGTTGGAGAAAAACTGCGGCGGAATCTTCAGCCTCGCCGCCTCCTCCACCTGGCTCGCCAGCACATTGCGCTCCTTCAGCACGACATACCACAGCTTCTGCAGGTCCTCCCAGCTCTTTTGCCGCAGCTCGCTCGCCGCCCACGCACGCCCCGTCGGATCCTGCTTCACGGGCAGCCGCTGGCCCTTCTCGAAAAACTCCTCCAGCCCGCGACGAACACCTGCGCGGCGTGTTGTGAGAGCACCTAGACGGCTGAACATTTTTTAGAAATTTGGAGAATGAATAGCTGAATTGAAGAGAGCAAAAGCTGTATGCAATAAGCAAGAGGAAAAAACTGATCCTGAATTCCTGTGCACGAAGCTGCTATCTTGTATGCTGATCCAGTGATCACATAATTATCAGAGCTCGGCATGTACCCCGTTGGTATGAGGTGTGGGCGTCGGCGTCTCGAGCACAGGCAGGGTTGCATCGGCACTAGTTGGCGTGGGTTCGACGGTATCTAGCTCTGTTTCACTCAATGCCATATTATTGCCACCGGCATAAGTCTGATAATACACCGGCCATTGGTCATCCTCGAAAGCAGAATATGCGAAGTGAGCAAGTTGAAATGGTTTCTGACTCGCAAAATCGACTGTCTTGGTGTGCTGACTTATGCTGTCGCTGTATGCAGCCCCATACACACCGCCGCTTTCTAGATCCACTTAATGGTGTGTCCCTGTAGAGATATATGGTATCCAAGTGTACTTTGGCCAGTTTACTTCTTCGCCGCTACTCACGGCTGCCAAGAAATCATAGTCTGGTTAATAGGGTACGACAATATCGTCAACAAACTCGTGGGACTCCAGTGTGAATTCAGTGCATATGCCGTGCATGTAGATGCTGTAGTGAGCAGGTCTGATATCGCTTTTGGTCCCGACTAGTTCGATATTGAGCTTGTAATCGCCATTGGCTAATGCACCAAAAGGGCAATAAAGGACCTCCCAAACAGCAATAGATGTTGGAACCGCTTTAGTTTCTTCATCCTCGCTTACAGAATACCCATTCATACCGAGGGGAGGTGCTATGGCCACAAGCCCTGATGTCCTCGATTCTTCACTCGCTGGTGTGAACCCAGAAATATCGTGATCCGCCTCGCTTGACTCAGCTCTACGAGACTTGGAACCGTACCAACTACCGCTGGCCGGATCCGGGTTATCCTCGAATACAGCCAACCCCTGATCAACAAGCTCAATATGCAGAATGGCTCGAGTATTCGGTTGGCTTCATGTAGTGGCTAGTACTGTTGCTATATGCAGCCAAATATGCCCCCATTGCATTTCACATGCGAATATTTGTATGTAGCTGTACGTGTAGAAGCCACCCAGGAACGAGCACCTAACTCTCTTTGGTCGCTACTGTATCCACTGTCCATAGAATAGGAATCCGCTGTGCAGTCTTTGAAGTATAAATAAGTGTAGGTTCATGGTTCAGGAATAAACCTGTCGCACGCGCCGTTCACATTGATGTTGTATTGGGCATCAACCAGAATTCCACATGGATAGTGCTGGGCATCAAATATTGCTTGGTCGTTTTCAGAAGATGCATCCAAAGTGCTAACAACGACTGCTTCCTAAACGTGCGTGTGGAGTGTTACCACAACGAGAAGAGCAGTGGCGAAACTAAACACTAGCACTGTTTTCATGATATTGGCGAGTTTTGAAACAAATGAAAATTCGACAGCCACCTATTAATACGTGCATTACATAACCTGTTTAAATATATCGGTGCAGGCGTCCCTATGCTGGTGGTACTGTATGAAGACAACGAATAGTTGAGCTGACTTTCATTTGACAGCAACGCAGAAACCCCTTTTGATTTCCTCAAAAACTGACACGTCACCTATACAAAAAAGCCTATCCTAGCACACCCTGCCACGTCCACATCTCGTGCTAGCATACAAACACGTGGCAAGACATATATGGACGAGTAGGCAACCATGCTCTCATTTATTCGATATTTTTATTTGCCGGCACTACAAAGAAAAATTCTACCTGAATTCAAAGTGCTTCTCATTGACTGGAGGGGTTGGAGTCACTGGTGCAGACGATGTCGGCCCATATCCAGTCGGCGTGGGTTTAGAAATATCGTAGTCACTGCTTGATCTATCGCTATAGTATCCTGATGAATACCATGAGTACCAAGCCGGGGGTTGGTTGTCCTCGAATGCAGTAAACGGTTCTCGGAAGAGCCCACCTGGATATTGGCTTGCGTACTCGACTGTCTTAGTATACTGGGTAACGCTGTCACTATAGTCTGCCTGGTAAGCACCGCTGCATGCAATATCTACGTAATGAGGCGTGTGGGTACGAGTAACAGGTATCCAGGAGCGCGTATCCGATTCCTCACCCTTGCTATGATATCCACTGCCCATATAATAGGGGCCGGAGGTGTAACCTTCAGGGACGAAGTATGTATAAGTATATGGCTCAGGTGTATACTGTGCACACGCGCCATCCACATTGACGTTGTAACGGGCAGGTCCGACGTCGCTCTTGGTCTTGACAACCTCAAAGTTGAGCTTGTAGTGGGCATCGGCCAGGACTCCCAGTGGATATTCCATCATATAAAACAGGTCGCGATCAACTCCAGACGATAGCGACATTTCGTTGTCATTCTCCACGATATCGCCAAGTTCGCCAATTCTGCTGGCACTAGCTACACCACTAATGGTAGCATGTGCGCTCTCTTGAGCGTGCGTTTGGATGGCCACCGCGGCGAGAAGAGCAGAGACGAGTCCTAACTTGAGCATTGTTTGCATGGGGTTGGCGGGTAATTGAAGTGGATGATGGGCTAAGAACCGCACCGCAAGCCCAGCCATTATATAGTCTGTATGAATGGCTTGGCGCAAGGAGTGCCCCTGGTCCTGGTAGCATCATACTGGGAGACTGGTAGGGGCAGGTTGTTGGCAACGCAGCACAGAACATTCGGTTGACAGCAAAACGGAAACGACCTACTGATTTCTTCCAAAATGGGACCCTCGCTCCGTATCACAAACCAGTTAGGGATACAAGCTCATGCGAATTTCCGCAGCTCACTGTCAGCACATATGCAGCGGATGTCGGTATCTATTTAACTAGCTGAATGGGGACTGCTGGCTGAGCTTGTGGCTATCGGTCTTGGCAGCGCGCGCTGTCGGAACTAGGTTAGAATTCTAGAAGCCATTTGCCCAGAGCAAATGTGAGCACATCCAAGCTGAGAATATTCCAATGCCACATGCACACATTTCACACACCGACCATGTGTGCTTAGTGATGTTCTTGGGATTTTTACAGAAAGCTAAGAGATAATGTTCAGGCTGTGCCGCCAGACTCAGTCATAGTCAGTGTCTGCATCGTCAACCACGTTGCCGCCACGGAAGTTGTCAGCAGCGACAGCGAAATCTTCGCTGCCTGAGCAGCAATTTCCGCCTCTGTCTACGGTACTCGCGGGCTGTCTGGCAGCGCTTGCGGACAAGGTATGTAGTCGTCTAAAGCAGTATACGCAACATCCATGAGGAGAATCGGATTCACGCTCTGATACGTCGCTGTAGTAGCACGCTGGCTTGCGCTGTCACTCTACTTGGCATTGTAGATACCACTGCATGTGTCGGCAGAATATGTAGGCGTGAACGTTGTCACGACATACCGACCCAAGGAAGCTGTAGTTGTGTAGTCAATGGCTCCAGGGTAATGGGAGAAGTATGTGTAGGGATAGGGATCGGGAAGGTACCAGGCACAGTCTCAGCCTATCTCAACCGCAGCACAGATACCAGCTCACTGCTATACCAGGATCGAAGGTGAGAGTGATGTTTGGTGGTCTGCATCAGGTAGGGATGATGCTTGTCGCTAGCAGATTCCACGGGCTTCTTTCAACAGTTGCAATAATGAGCAGGCGACCCTGTCAGCCTCGTTAGCAGTGCTGGTTGGGCTGTAGACAATAGCAGGAGTGATTATAATGCGTCCAGGCAGCTTCCGTGCCAACATTTAACGAGATTCGCATTTTGAAATCACACAAAATCAAAAAGTGAACCAGCTATATCGAAGAGCTGGTGAACTGGACATGGCCAAACCCAGACTTGCCAACCTAGTTGCCGCTGTCCGTATCATTGCCTGCGTTATTGCCGTCGCTGACATGACCCCCACTGACATAAATGTCCCTGACATCGCCCTGGTGCTCAATATTGCCATCTTCATCGTCTGTAACGTTGCTGTGACCACTGTTGTCCTTGGTATTCCCTTTGGGATGCGGGCAACGGTGGATAGCGGCAGGAGCTACTAGGACTGGCTCAGGCTGAGTTGATAGGGCGGGTTTTGCATCATAATCATCGCTGCCATTGGCATGGTCATCGTCGTTGCCGGTGATGTTCCCATCGTCATCACGACGGATAATGCCAGACCTGGCCAAGAGAACGTGCTTCACACCATTTGGCAGATGACCAAAGACATCGGCGTTGAATCCCCAGGGGTGAGCGACTGGCGGACGAGAGAAGATTGCAGCAGATACATCGGTGTCAGTGCCACCAAGTGGAGCGGCGTTGGCGGATGCATTCAGGGCAACCACGGCAAGCACAGCAGAGACGAAGTAAACCTTGACCATATTAGGTGGTAGCTAGTTGAAGGTGCTGGTAGGTAGAACTGGAGAGGTGGTAGAGAACAGCAGAGAATATTGGAGCGGCTGTGCCCAGATTAGGATTGTGTATGTTGGTAGATTCTGTAGAAATGGACGGCTGGTGTCGAGAGATTTATATACGTTTGGACCACTGCAGGCAGAACTTAATGGCAACATCAACTGGCAGCATCTACTGGCAGCCTTTCCTCATAGTTCATGCAATATGTGGTGTCAGATAAATGTAGGCAGCTGGCATGCACCGACGTTCCATGATAATATGCCAAGACACCGTCTGCTGCAGTCAGTGCGCATGGTGGCAGGTCCTTCTGCCCTCTATCCACTGAGGTGTGGAGCAGGCTTGGTGAGCCGCTGTGAGGAACACCGGTGAGGGGCATCAGGAATGTTCGGAGCAAGAATAGGCACTGGGGAACCAAAAATACCGCGCATCGCAGTGGATTGAGAAAACTCCATTAGGCAAAAATAATTAGCAGCAAATGTGTCTCCGCGTCTGTTCTGAGGCAGAAATGTGTGTAGGATTGGTTGAGGCATTTACGCCGACAGCTTCGCGGCAATATTCGCAAAGCTCTCGCCCTGTGCAACGGCTGCTGCCAAGTCGTACTCGGTGGGCTGGCGTGCGCCGTCGCTGCCAGCAACCGTGCCTGCGCCCCACGGCGATCCGCCTGCGACTTGGTCGACACCCGGGTTGCCAGCGCTGGTGGAGAGCGCGGGGACAAAGACCATTCCGTGGTGGGCGAGAACGGGAAGGAACGAGAACGCAGTGGTTTCCTGGCCGCCGTGCTGGGAGGCTGTTGAGAAGAAAATTCCTGCAGGCTTACCGCTGAGCGTGCCCTTGACCCACAGCGAGCCTGTGGAGTCAAAGAACGCCTTGACCTGGGCAGGAGCAGATCCGAAGCGGGTTGGGAATCCGAACAGGAAGCCATCGGCCTCGGCTAGCTTGTCAACGGTGATGACGGGGATGTCGGGCTTGGGTGGAGCATACATGCTCTGGAGGACGCTCTCGGACAGGGTCTCTGGGAACTGATATACCTCGACATCGACCAGTGCAGACTTTTCCAGTCCTTCCTTGATTGACTTGGAAATGGTGTGGACGTGTCCGTAGGTGGAGTAGAAAACGACAAAGACCTTGGGGCGGGCCATGATATACTATGCGAGGCAGTACTGTGGTAAGTGTAGGTTGCGATTATATGGTTGCTGGTAGTGTTGTGTGTGGCTGGCGGGGATATGCGGCAGGCCGTTCTCAATTTATACAGAGCAACTATCGTGAGACTGGGAGGGAGGCTTACAAATATGCCAGCGGCTCGGATTACGAATTGTGTTTACTGATACTGGATGACAAAAGTACAGCGATGCAGGCGGTGGAGCGGTAGATTGCAGAGCCGGTGTGTCCATAGCAAAGCGTGAAGGGATCAGATCTGGGCCATGGGCATTAGGCGGCAATTCACATCGCTGTCACGCTTCTCTCGCTCGTGAAATGTACAGTCTGGCATCGTAGCTCACAGATCGGTACCTGGCTCTGAGTAGGTGTATTCGCCCTAGGCATGGGTTCTCGTTCGGATTCCTGTCGGCGTTTTGATTTCCATGACATGGTAGGTATGATTACAAATCGGCTATTGGCAATACGATGTCTGGAACCAGGCAATCATGTGCGGAATCTGAGCAGCAAGCAGGAGAGAGATCTGTGCTAATAGCTGCTGATTTCCTGCTGACTACACTGTGTGCCGCCTATTTCTGAGAGACCCAAAGTACTGGACTCGGGTGTCCTGCGGTTTCTGTGGACAGTCCATTGCACAAAAAGAATCTTCAAAGAGCAGATAAGCTTATTCTGCGCAGCCGTTCAGCGAGAGTTCACTTGGGTTGTTCGACGTTCTCTGCAATCGACTGGTGGATCCGCAAAACCTCGCCCGGTGCCGATATCTCCCTGTCGAGGAACGATGCCGTGTGCATCTCGCTCATAACGCTCTTCATCTGATCCACCTGGCTCGAGCCGATCGAGAAGCCCAGCTCGTCGAGCTCTGCCAGCAGCGCACCAAGCTCACCCGCATTTGGAACAGTGCTTTCAGACTGGTGGCCGGCAGACTCCGACATGGCTTGACTATCAAGGCGGGCAATGCTGGTTGGATGTACTTGGCGGTATGCCGAGGCAACTTCGTGCAGGTAGCCGAGGACCACCAAGGGCAGGGCAGAGTTGACAAACTCTTGTTGCTGCTGCTCGACCTTCCCTGGCCTTGTCGAGATAAGCGAGGTGGACCCGACCGATCCCAACGATAGTGCCAATGCTACGAGTAGATTAATCTTCATTGCTGTGTGATAAATATCCGGAGCGTGGAGGCAGGTGCAAGCAGGCTGCTGCTGTCAGAATTTGGCATGGTGTAGCGGCATTGGCAGATAGCTAGCGGTGTTTACTGTGTCGCACTCTGGATGCATGGAACGCTGGAAGTAACCATTCATTTAGCACTATCTTTTATTTGATATCCAATTTACCACACTCTACATTTGTAATTAATTAGCAGTCTCTGCAGACTACATCCTGGCCGTGGCAAGGGTTCTGCCATTGTGTGCCAGCAACGCGGAGTTGGGCCGCTTGATCCTGTTGATCTTGATTGCAAATTCTGCAGAAGCGGCAATCCGCTTGTGCAGCTGCAGTCATGCGTGAAGCTGAGAAAGGGGTGCTGTCCCCCTGATCGCTCGTCATCCTATCGAGCGAGCCAGTCAAAGCCGTCGGGAGTTCGTGAGAAACCTGTCCCGAATCGAAGCGAATGGCTTATTTGAAATGCCCGACTTCGCAAGAAAGGGGGATTGTCCACGTGAAATGCACGTCGCCGCGCTAAAGAGCTGAAAAAGGGGGCGGCAGGCAAGACAAAAACACCTCAGGGGGTAGTGTCGCCCCTATAAAAGGTGTGTTTACTGTCGCCCGCCGTTCTCCTTTTCTCTCCCAGATTAAGCCAAACCACCTACCCCTGTTTCCTCAGTAAGCCTTTTCAACGCCTTTTCCCTACCGCAATCTATTATCCATGACCTCTCTGTATTCTGACGAGCCTTGGAACGAGCGCAACCTGGACAACTATCTGGTCCGGGCCCAAGAGCCGTTCAACGCCGAGGCCAAGCTCGAAAAGCTGGTCGAGCACTACATCACGCCGACAGACCGCCACTTCCGCCGCAACCATGGTTCCATTCCCAACCTCTGCAGAGACTCGTGGCGAATGCAAGTCGATGTCGATGCGGTGCTGCCCGCCAAAACACAGCTGTCGTCAAGCATCAAGCTCGCGGATCTGACCAAGCTGCCTGCATTCGAGGTTGTTGCTGTCCTCGAGTGTGCTGGAAACCGCCGTGATGGACTCAAGGCAATCAAGCCTGTCAACGGCGTCATCTGGGGACCGGGTACGGCGTCAAACTCGCGCTGGACCGGGTGCCGCCTGCGTGATCTGCTCGTCAGCGTTGGAGTGCCAAAAGATCTGTGCCACCCGTTCTACTCGACCCCCAAGCACGTCGAATTTGCCGGATTCGGCGATGCCAAGGAGGATAAGCACTATGCGTCGTCAATTCCACTGGAGTGGATTATGAATCCGCTGAACATGGTGTTGGTTGCATACGAGATGAATGGCCAGCCTCTGACGCGAGACCACGGATTCCCCGCACGGATTGTTGCTCCTGGCATCATCGGCGCGCGCTGGGTCAAATGGCTAAAGTACATCCGGGTGCAGGACGTGGAGTCTGACAGCTTCTACCAAAAACTCGACTACAAGATCCTACCGCCAATGGCTGATGCCCACAACTGCACAGAGTTTTGGCCCAAATTCCCAGCCCTAATGGAGCTCAATATCCAGAGCGTCATTTGCCGCCCTGCGCCAGAAGAGGAGCTACAGGTTGGCCGGCCGTTCGAAGTCCAGGGCTACGCGTTCTCTGGCGGCGGCCGTGCGGTTGACCGAGTTGAGGTGTCGCTTGATGGCGGGAAGACATGGGACCTGGCAAGGATCTATACAATGCAGACAAAGTGCAAGGATGGCCAGCGTGACTGGAGCGCGAAGCAGTGGGCGTGGACTCTGTGGGCATACCGCATCGACCACGTACCAACCGGTTGCACAATTGCGTGCCGTGCCTGGGACTCTGGAGGCAACACGCAGCCAAGCGAGGCCGTATGGAATTACCGCGGTGTCATGAACAACTCTGTTTATAAGATCAAGCCACCAGTTCGGCTGGAGAGCCGCCTTTGAATGTGAGTGCACTAACTTTGGTTTTATGCAAGGGCAATGCAAGCTTTCAACCTAAATGTCTATATTGCTGGCACTGAACCCGCTGAGTGAGAGTTCAGTGCTGTGCATGCTTTATCTCAAGAATCCGATGGGTTGCACAAGAATCAGCTAAATCGAGCGCCCAAGCTTCCTGAAAGCCCAGGTATCGAGTAGTGGCTCTAGCACACAACTGTAAACCCTGTTCTCGGCAAGACTCTGGCGATTCAGCCATGCCATTAGGTCAGGAAACTACAAAGCACATGGTATCAAAGGTGGTAGCAGCGGTATTGGGGACAGCACTTGCAATATCCTACTCGCCTGGATGGCTTCATATCGAGTACAGCAAGGGTGAGGTATCTATCGACGCTATCTTTATCTTTTCGGATATCGTCTTGTTTATATATTGTACTCTGGTTCCAGGCACCTCCCATATTGCCCCCGGGCCATATGCGCTATCAGCTGCTGGTACTGCTTGTTGCCAATATGCTGCTGTGCCTGTCAGTCGTCGAATGGCTCCATTGCTGAGTCACATCGAGCATTCGCCGATCCATCATGGCTGTAGTGAGTAACAGCGGGCGTTTATCTGGGGTACCAACCGGAGCCTCCTTGCCCTTGTCCTACGACGCCGAGTTCTCAAGTACTTGAGCAGGCTGAGGAGCAGCGCACAGCTCTGCTCTTTTTTACTTCACTGCTTCTGCTTTTTTCTTTTTCTCGATTAGTGTAAATCTCCTCTACAACATAATTCGAAGCTACTGAAATGTCGTCTAGCGATCGCATTCTCAACGCCGCCGTCCTCGGCGCTACTGGCACAGTGGGCCAGCGCTTTATCGTGCTGCTGGCCAAGCATCCGATGTTCCGCATCCACTCGCTGGGTGCGTCCGAGCGCTCGGCTGGCAAGGTGTACACTGATGCAACCAAGTGGAAGATGAGCGACATTATGCCGGAGGAGGTCAAGGCAATGGTGGTAAAGCCGTGCGATCCGGCGCATTATGCCGGGTGCGACGTTGTGTTTTCGGGGCTGGACGCCGCGGTGGCAGGCGACATCGAAAAGGCTTTCTTTGAGGCCGAGTTTGCGGTGTTCTCGAACGCAAAGAACTACCGCATGGTGGAGGATGTGCCACTGTGCGTGCCGGTGGTGAACACCGACCACTACCAGCTGGTTGCGCATCAGCGCAAGTCGCTGAACCTGCAGAAGGGCTTCATCGTGACCAACTCGAACTGCTCGACATCTGGTCTGGTGGTGCCGCTGAAGGCGCTGCAGGACAAGTTTGGCGCGATCTCCCGTGTTATCGTGACCACGCTGCAGTCGATCTCAGGTGCCGGATACCCGGGCGTCGCGTCGCTGGACATCCTCGACAACATCGTGCCGCTGATCTCGGGCGAGGAGCCCAAGATGGAGGCCGAGGTGAAGAAGATCCTGGGCGGCATTAACAGCGATCTGTCGGCCTGCGCACCGCTCACCGACATGAGGGTGTCGGCCACGTGCAACCGCGTTGCAGTTATCGACGGCCACACCGAGTGCGTCAGCGTCGAGTTTGCCGGCAAGCCGCCTTCGGTCGAGGAGGTCAAGCAGTGCCTGCGCGAGTACACGTGCGAGGCCCAGGAGCTCGGCTGCTTCTCAGCGCCCAAGCACGTCATTCACGTTACCGATGAGCCGGACCGCCCGCAGCCGCGTCTGGACCGGAATAACGACGAGGGCATGTCAGTCACTGTTGGCCGCATCCGCGAGTGCCCCGTGTTCCACATCAAGTTCACTCTGCTGGTCCACAACACCGTGCTGGGTGCCGCCGGCGCCAGCATCCTCAACGCTGAGTATGCCGCCAAGAAGGGCTTCGTCTAAGTTATTTCTGCATGGTGGTGACAATATAGCTGATCTCCCAGTGCCAGTGCGCTTGCCAGCAAAGACTCTAGCCACATGAACGAACGGCCATGTCCTTTCCATTAGAACATTCCACTGCATGAGCCGCTTAGAAAGGCAGAGTGCTTTTTTCTGGTGGGCAGCAACGAGAGAAAGCGTTGCGGCGTTAGTTCCTTCTTCAGCAACTTCTGCTCCACTATCTCCCTCCCTATTTTCTAATGCCACTTCTTTTTCTTGTAAATATCCACTAGTTATCCTCCCTTGCTCTCGCAGCCCACATCGCACGCATATCCCACAAAACCATATAATGTCGCTGCTATCGAGACGGCCTCAGGTGCTGCGGACGACCACCGAGAAGACGAAGGCCAGTATAGCCGCCAACCCAGACACCACCGCCGACAAACAGTGCAACCAGGTCCTAGCAAGGCCGGCAAAGGACAAGCGGCCAAAGAAGATCCGCTGCATGTTTTGTGACTTTTGGACATACGACGACGCAGAGACAGCCATGGCCAAGCACACAAACTTCTACCACGGCTGGAAATAAATAGCTCTATTCTAGTACGCGGGAAACTCTGAGTCTACGTCGGCCTGCCAGCCAAGCAGACCGCGGACAATGTCATAGCACTCTTTGTAGTCCAGCTTGTTGCGGATGTACTGCACCGCATACTGCGAGTCGTTGCCTCTACGGCACAGCGCGTAGATCGGCTTGCCATTGGCCTGGGCGACGATATCCGTCAGTTCCTGCTGGCGCTTGTCGAAGTCCGCCAAAGGGATGTTGAGTGAGTTGGGCAGCTGACAGATGTCAAACTGCACTTTCTCGCGCACATCCAGCAGGACATGTGGCTGGCCTGAGTGAACAACGCCACTGTACTGGCGGCACGAGATGCGCTGGCTGGGATCCTGAAGGATATGTAGGTCGGCCGCTGCATCATTTGGTCCGCTGCCGCAGAATGCCACATAGTCAACTAGCTCCGTGATACTTGGCGCATCGCCGCACACCGCGCAGCTGGGCTTGCGCGGCCGCAGCTTGATTGAGCGGAAGTGCGGCTGCGACGTGTAAGAATACAGAAGCATGTTGGGCTTCTCTTCCTGCTTCTTGCCTGTGATTACCTTGACTGCCTCCATGGCCTCGAGACAGCCGATGATTCCAGGCACCACACCTAGGACCCCTGTCTCCGAGCAATTCGACAAGGTCTCAACTGGCGGCGGGGTCGGGAACAGGCAGCGATAGCATGGCCCACCGTTGTAGTTGTACACCGTCAGCTGTCCGTCCAGCCGCACGGCACTGCCCGATACCAGCGGGATCTTGAGCATCACACATGCGTCGTTGATCAGGTACCGCGTTGCCGCATTATCTGTGGCATCGACAACAACGTCGTAGCCGCGCATAGTATCCAGGGCATTGGAGCTGTCGAGCAGGACATCATGCACAACTACTCTGCACGACGAGTTAAGCCGCGACAGAGATGTGTGTGCTGACACAACCTTGGGTACATTGCGTGCCGCTTCTGTGTGGATGATCTGTCGGTGCAGGTTGCTGTTGTCAACAACATCATGGTCGATTAGGCCCAAGGTGCCAATCCCCATTGACGCCAGGTACATTGCACACGGCGAGCCGAGCCCGCCGGTGCCGACGATCAAAACTTTGGCGTTCTGCATCTTCAGCTGGCCCTGGACTCCGATCTCGGGGACAAGCAGCTGCCGGCTGTAGCGCCGGATGTCGTCGGGGACCAGATGATCCTTTTTCTCCACATGTGCTGCCTCCCTTTGGTTCAGTCCCTCGAGCTTGACAAGCTCTGATTCGAGCTCGAGTTCCTCAGCCCGCAGCTTGGCTAGTCGGGCCTTGATTTCCTGGATTCTCTCTGATGTTGACATTGGGCGTAGGTAAGAATGGATTCAAGGGGTTTTGCAAACCAGGCAGCAAAGGGCACAAATCGCTATATTTTCATATCATATGACAGAAACAAATGGGATTAGCGAAAATGAAAAGAAAAAGAAAAAGGAAATAGGTTCGAGTGCCTCGGATGTGCACAGCATACAGATTAAAAACATGCCGATGCTTGCTGTCATTAGCTGGCACCACATGCCTTAGATACCAGTGTTGACCATACCAGCGACACGCAGAACCATCCCACGCTGTGGCTTCTTGCTGGTTGGATAGATGGGCAACATGCTGCCATCATGGAGCTCAAATCCGTACGGCAGTTTCTTGGCGAGCCCATTCTTGCAGTCCAACTGGAGAATATGGCAAGACCACTTCATGTGGCCAGGCTGTCCACAGTAGAAGCAGCTCTTCTCACCCATTGCATCCTTAGACTTTGGGTTCGTGGGATGCGTTTTCTCAGCGGTTGTACTGTCAACCGGTTCTTCAGCAGTGTCAGCTCCTGATTTGGCCCTGTCCACAAGATTCTTCATAAGGAGCATCTTGTTCTTCAGGAGGGCGCCGTTAACAAATCCATCCACCATAGCGGCAAAACTGGTTGCCTGCCCAGTGTCCTTGCCATCGTTGATATCGATGATGCCTTCGCTTCGACTGCAAGAACGCCCGCTAGAGACGAAGTTTGCCAAGTCGCGTATACCTCCTTGCATCAGGTCGATCAGACCAATATTTTCGCGGCAATATTTAATGACACCAAGTATCATATCCTCAAACGGTGCGGACGGCACATGGCTCACTGCCAGGCAGCTTATCAGCTCATCGCTTAAGCACTGAGTTACCATTGCACACTTTTTACCATCCGACCATCCAGTGATAGCCTTCAGCAGCGGATAGGCGAATGACAGAATAGCTGCTTCGCAGCCTGGACGAAGTTTACCCCTGAGTAGGTGGTGCGCAGCAGAACGAAGCTCCATTTCCTCACTGTCTCCATCGCTGCCAAGAAAGTCTGCTGCCTTCAAAATATAGGGCTTTATCTCGGCCCACGTTGGCTGCTCGCGACCTTTGCCCTTTCTGACAAGCCTGCGCGCAGCATAAATATGCGCCTTGAACCCAGGCATCTTGCGTATTGCAAGCAAGATCATCTGCTCATCGGGGAGATTATATGGAGCGGTCACGAACTCTAATGCGCAGATATATTCCTTGGCATTAGTGCCATCGAGTGGCTCAATGCTGCTGTCCGACCAGACAAGAGCTGGTTTCTCAGTAGGGTTGCCTGGCACGCTGCCCTGGCAGCCAGATGGAGGAATCGAAGACATAGTGGTAGTGACAAAGAAACTGGCTAGGCCGGCTGACACTGCTAGATATAAGCAGAGGATGGAAAGTGAAGTGTTGATGCTGGAGCAGCTCACTCTAAGCATACACAGCGTATTTATGCTAGCTGGCTTGCAACGTATGCTTCAAGCCCTGGGTTCAATATAGCAATGCCGACGGTAACATGCACCCCATTTATTGCCTCCATTGTAGTGAACAAGCAAAGGGTAATCGTTTTCATGCTACCATTGTTTGACAATTTAGCTCTATGGTATGCACCTGGTGTGTCGCAGCCTACAGAACTTCACGATGACGGACATAAATGTCAGAACACCAATATGTCTATGATGGCCACACTTCCACCGTGCAGTCTTCACAGTCGCTCTGTCTGGCTCAATTTTGGAGCAAGCAGCTTCTTGCACAACTGTGTTTGGTGATTGCGAAATTGCCCATTTCTGGCAGGATCTGAGTTCCGGTGATCTGCCGCAAACCATGGTTCAGTGCAGTGCGAGATTGGCCTGATTACCAGCCCACCAAACTGCCATACAGGCCGACAGATCGTCGATGACAACATTTAAATATAGCACGTGGAAAGTGAAAACAAATGAGGATTTA